CAGTCATTCGGTCAATAAATATCTATCTACCAAGTGCCTGTAACACACCAAACACTACTGTAAGCATTGATAACAGAAGGATCTCTACTGTAAGTCAAAGAAGATGTCAGAAAAATATGTAGGGTATGATCCCATAACTGTGAGGTTTTACATCTCTACATACATGAATCGAATTGAGTTTTTCCCCTCAAGGATTCACAGGAAACAAAGGGAGGGGATACACACGACGGAGCATCATTCAACCGCAAAAAGGAAGGGGGTCCAACGCAGCTGCCACATGGCTGGACCGGAGGACACCACGCTAGGCGAAGTCAGCCAGGCACAGAAGCACAGACACCGCAGAATCCCACTCACAGGCAGTCCCCAGGAGTCCCGTTCAGAGGCTAAAAGCAGGTGGGTGTCAGGGCTGGGGGAGGGGAGAGCGGGGAGTTACTATTTAATGGCTAAAGAGTTTTGGTTTTAGAAGATGGACATTCTGGGAATGGATGGGTGGTAATGGTTGCACAGTGTGAATACACTTAATGCCAGCATAAACGGCACAGTTAAAAAAGGTAAAATGGTAACCTTTATGTTAAAAACTCAAACTACAGAACGGAGAGAATTGAGAGGAATTTTAAAAAGTGCCATTTCCACAGGAATTTTAAAAAATACACAAGAAAGAAAGGACCTTTTCTCTTTTATACCTTTCTGTAGCATTTGAACTTTAAAAATCATATGTATACATCAGTTTTATAAAAAGCAACATAAAGACAGAGAAGTGACTGTCCTTCAGGCACATAAGCTGCTCTGTGGCTGTTTTTAGTTAACTTTAAGGTGACAGTAAAATTCCTGCCATGTTACGCCAGGCCTTGTATAAGGGAGTGTCCTCATGCCACCCTGCAGAGTCAGCCTGAGCTAGCCATGGCTCCAACAGACCTGGGGGTGCCATGAGCCTCCTGGTGCTGATGTGCCCTCAGCCAAGCTGGCTCCCTCACCCAGGGTGTGCGGTGGCCAAACATGGTTTTGTCTCAAGTCCTCCTGGACTCCGAGAATTTTACAACTACACAGCTGGGTCAAATGTCTCAACATCAGTGAGTAAAGTAGATGCTAGAATACTTAGTAAAGTCAAGGGTAACCTGTCCCAGAAGTTGTTTTAGGCTAAAAATACTTTTGAGTTTGATTTTTATTTATGACAATTGCCAATTTAATTACAAGTATTTTTGTTTCAGAAGCAATTAAAGACATTTATCATCATCTGCTACAACCATTACACTTTTGTTGAAATGGCTTGGTAGCTGTAATCTGCACATACACACACACATATATCCAGGGAGAGCATTCTAGTGATTTAAACACTCGTTTCTATGTTCTACAGATTCAAAAACCAATGCCTGCAAACAGGAGAGGTGAGAGAAATGTACGTATAAAAATAAATAGGACAGATCGAGACCATCTTGGCTAACATGATGAAACCCCGTCTCTACTAAAAATGCAAAAAAATTAGCCGGGCGCAGTGACAGGCACCTGTAGTCCCAGCTACTCGGGAGGCTGAGGCAGGAGAATGGCGTGAACCCAGGAGGCAGAGGTTGCAGTGAGCCGAGATTGTGCCACTGCACTCCAGCCTGGGTGACAGAGTGAGACTCTGTCTCAAAAAAACAAATAAGTAAAATAAAATAAATAAATAGGACAAAGGCCTAAGCTGTAACATATCTTGTGTTTATAAGGAAATAATTCTGGTTGCTGTGATGTGGAACTACAGTAGATTGGGAAAAACTGGGTTAGTGATAAATTATAGTTGTGACTGAATTTCACTGGAAATTTTATTACAACATACAGATACAGTCATGTAATATAAATGGTTAAAGTATTCTCACGGATGACTTTTGATGAACCCCTTTATCCACTGCACAAATGATATCAAAACACGATAACCCGTACGCCACTGTAACAGGTCCCTTACTTTCTTAAATTCCCTTCCCTTCTTGCCACATGCATATTTTCATGGCTGTAACCAAAGAAGTGGATGTATTTTATATTGTGCTTCTCTTGCTTATTACATCAGAAGCATTTTCTGTGTGGCTACAAGCGTCCTCATGATCATTTTTGTTGTTGTGTATTTCATCCCCTTATTGCTGCCAAATATCTTTTTTTTTTTTTTTTGAGACAAAGTCTTGCTCCGTCACCAGGCTGGAGCACAGTGGCGTGATCTCAGCTCACTGCAACCTCCATCTCCCGGGTTCAAGCGATTCCCCTGCCTCAGCATCCGGAGTAGCTGGGACTACAGGCGCGCAACACCATGCCTGGCTAATTTTTTGTATTTTAGTAGTGATGGAGTTTTAACATGTGGGACAGGATGGTCTCAATCTCCTGACCTTGTGATTCACCTGCCTTGGCCTCCCAAAGTGCTGGGATTATAGGCGTTAGCCACCATGCCTGGCCATCCTTTTTTTTTTGAGATGGAGTCTCACTCTGTCGCCCAGGCTGGAGTACAGTGGCACGATCATGGCTCGCTGCAAACTCTGCCTGCCAGGTTCGAGAGATTCTCCTGCCTCAGCCTCCTGAGTAGCCGGGGTTACAGGCATGCGCCACCATGCCCGGCTAATTTTTTGTATTTTTAGTAGAGACGAGGTTTCACCACGTTGGCCAGGCTAATCTCGAACTGCTGGCCTCAGGCGATCCACCCGCCTTGGCCTCTCAAAGTGCTGGGATTACAGGTGTGAGTCACCACACCCAGCCAAGAAATCCTATTAAAGCTAAGGAATGTCCAGAGATCCTTTTGCCATAACGGGCTGAAGTGAGGAGCCAGGAGGCAGCCCCGACCCTGAAGAGCCGTGGAAAGGCTGTGAGATGGTGTCCTGTGGGGCTGCTGGGGGTTCCCACCTTCCCTGAAAATGTTCATTTCTGGGACTGGCAAGTCGAACGGCTCAGAAGACTGGGCACCACCGACCTGTGGAGCTGAGGCTACAGTGGGTGGCCCGGGCACACCGGAATCAGGGGCAGGAGCCCACCCTGTGGCACTTGGGCACTCGACAGGTCTCACACAGACTCATCTTCTCTGCTCCTCTTATCTAACTCTCCCCTCCCTGCTCATCATATTATTTCTGAGGCCTCCTGCCAAATGTGAGGGGATTTCAGACTGACTCCCAAAACAGGAAAGCTGATTCAGCCTTCTGCATCATTTCAAAAGTCTGAGCCCAGAATGTTGTTTCCACAGAAAAACAAGCGGAGTGACTTCAAGCAGAGAATCAGTTTTGAATAATGGTCCTGGACTCTTAGAAATGTCAGCATAATTAAAGTGAAAGGCTTATTCTATACTACGGGAAAAAAAGAGCTACAAAAGACATGTGGGGCCACTTGGAGCAATGTGACTGCGGCCTGCAGAGGAAGTGATGTACCATCAGTGGGCAATCTGCGTGCAGCACTGTGTTTCCCAGGGGAAGGCCCTTCATGGGTATTCAGGGTAGAGCGGTCACCATGTCTGCAAACGACTCTCAGAGAGGGCGAGCACGCATGGGTCAATGTGCCCACATATAGATGAGTAAGCATGCGCATGCAATCGCCTGGGCACTGGGGGCATCTTACCATTCTTTCCAATTTTTTGAAGGTTTGCAAACTTTTCAAAAAGTAAAATTCCCAGAGTTACTATCTTTTTTATTCTTTCCAACTTTTATTTATTTCATCACCCAGGCAGTGAGCACAGTAGCTAATAGAGAGGTTTTTTATCTTTACCTTCCTTACTCCCTCCCTCCCCACTCAATGAGGCCCTCGTGTCTGCTGTTCTCTTCTCTGTGTCCATGTGCACTCAATGTTTAGCTACCACTTATAAGCGAGAACATGTGGTGTTTGATTTTCTGTTCCTGTGTTCATTCATTTTTTTTAGGAGAGAGATTAGGTTGAGAAAGATTTTATAAAAAGATTTTTTAAGTGCTCTTGAAATAACATAAAACCACAACTTTTTAGCTATTGTCTAATTGTAGATCTAAACCCATCCTAATATTATAGTTCAAATGTTAAGTCAGCTTTTAATTCATCTACAATTATAGGACTAGTTACTAAAATGCCCAGTTTTGTCATAGTTTATTGATACAAAGACAATCCTCCTTTAATCCTCAAAGGATGTGTCCTACTCTATTATTTTTCTTACTTTAAAAGAGTTATGTCTCCAAAATGCTCCTAAACTCCCCAAAGAATTTCTGGATATTCTTGTAGTTTAAATACAAAATAAAATTCAGAGACAGAACTGCTATAAAAAAATCTAAAATTAAACTTAAAAGATTCTAAATTGATGTGACTAAAAAAAAAAAAAGCAGCGTTTTTGCTGAATATGATTAATTACGGTACTGCTGCTGCTGAAGGCATCAGTGTTTCCTGAAGGCCTCTGGTCTCAGACACCCATGTGAGCAATCCCCCTGGCACAGGAGCCAGTGTCTACTGAAGGCCTCTGTTCTGAGCACCTTCCCTTGGCGCAGGAGACTTGTAAGGCAGCCATGTGATGACCCCCATGTAAGGCCATATCTCTGCTCACACCACTGAGGAAGGAGCCATGTACTCCCGGAGTCTGTTCTCTTAACTCCCTCTTCCTTTTTCTCTTTAATTAAAGTGTTGACATTGATACAGACTGTGGCAAAAGGATTTCTGCCCTAAGTGTGAGCTCAGTACTGGTGCTGCTGCAGAGGCGGGGCTCCAGGGAAGTGTGTCCACCACATTTCCCCAGCAGGACCCATGGGAGTGACTCCCCAGGCCCTCCTGCCCGCCCCATAAGGGCAGCCGTGAAGCAGAGGCTCCCCCGAAATCGCAGGCAGTATTTGCTGTTTATGTGAACGTGCACTTACGGGGCAAACTCTTGTCAAATTCTTCGATTCACAGCTATAAAGCAAAAGCCAACCCACGTAGGAAGGAAGAGCTGGGGGCTCATATCCCTCACTCAGGCCAGAGACAGGCAGCTGGAGGGAGACACATCCTCCCTGCTTCTATGTACCACGCAGCCCCGCAAATACCAATGTGGGATTTCTTTACTATACCTCAACACTGAAAGGACTCTCCTCAATTTTCCCAGCTTCTGCTTCCGGCAGAGGATTTTTGAGGGTCTGTAAAAATAATGCCGCTTTCCTTTTACGTTCTGCTTGAAGCTGTTTCTCTTTCGACTCCTTAGACGCCTGGGCCAGCTTTTCCCGGGCTGCAGCTGCGAGGCGATCTTCCAGCTTTTGCTTTGCTTGAGGAATAAACAAAGAGAAAAGATAAGTTTAGAGCAAGCAGTATTTTATCTGATCTTAATTTTCACAGGCTGCAAAAGCGTCACACGATGCAGTCAGTTAGAGTTTCTGAATAGGTACATACATCGGACAAATCAAATTTTGAAAGAATTAGTTTATAACGTGCCCTTTTTTGGATATTTTACTTTTAGAGTTAGAAGGCTGATGAGACTCTATACTAACGAAAGCTGGAATAATGAAAACCTCAGAATGGCTCTCAACATACATCCAAAATATTCACACCAGGCAATGGATACTCTATGACAAGTGTTTTATTCCAAATGATCCGACAGTTGGTTAGTTTACACACAGGAAGTACAGATTCAGATGTACAGGCATGAGGACAAGTTTGCTTAGGGAGAACATCACAGCACAATGGAAGTTCTTGATGGTGGATTGTGGTTGAAAAATGGCCTTTTTTTTTTTTTTTTTTGAGACAGAGTTTTGCTCTTGCTGCCCAGGCTGGAGTGCAATGGCGCGATCTCGGCTCATTGCAACCTCTGCCTCCCGGGTTCAAGCAATTCTCCTGCCTCAGCCTCCCAAGTAGCTGGGATTATAGGCGTGCGCCACCATGCCTGGCTAATTTTGTTTTTTTAGTGGAGACGGGGTCTCACCATGTTGGCCAGGCTGGTCTCTAACTCCTGACCTCAGGTGATCCACCCACCTCAGCCTCCCAAAAGTGCTGGGATTACAGGCATGAGCCACCTCGCCCGGCCTGAAAATTGGCCTCTTTTAAATGTTGCTTGATCTGAATGTGTGTATACAGGAAAAGCAATTTAAGAAAATCAGTTAGAATAGATAACAACCACAATGCAGCAACCATTATTTGACTGCTTTAATGCAGAATAGAATTTATTTTGGAGTCAGGATGGGAAGACTATATGCTGTCCCCATGCTGCCGGCAGCGTTGGGGCGGGTGTGGTGGCCACGCTGTGGCCCATGAAGATGAGCTGCAGCCCGAAAACCAGCTGGGTACACACCACCTTCAAGGGCCCAATGGTTCTGTTGGGAGGCAGCCTCACGAAAGGGCATCTCCTAGTTTGGTTCCTGAGCTGGGAAGCAAGGCTGAGCCTTTTACCCTGGGGCTGCCAGCCAAGCGCAAAGTGAGCCTCCATTAATGCATTCCACTGTGGCGCATGAGGGCTAAGACGGCCAACTCAGTTTCTTCGAAAACAAACTGCCAACGGCACTGCATTTGAGGTTCAGTGAAGAGCAGAGCTCATTCCTTTAACAGAGAACGTTTCAAAACCTCAGACATGTTACACAACTCCCAAATGGGTCTGATTTCCAAAGGCTTCAGATTCTAGTTGGCAGCCTTGAGATTTTTTGGCTTAGCAGATAAATCTTATATTTATGTATTTCCTTTCTTTCAAGAAGTTTAAAAGCTATCAACAAACCTTGCTTTGCTTCTAGCTCCTCCTGGGTAAGTTGAGGCTTCTTCTCCTCAACAACTACACAGGGTGGGGCAACTGCTGGGTTAGTGTTTGCAGCACTACTAGAACTTTCTTGGCCTTCTTTGCTTTCTTCATCATCATCACTGTCATCATCTAGCTTAACACGATTTTTTTCCAGGGGAAGCAGATCATTTTCTTTGGCCTTGATTGCAAAGCTTATTGGAGCAAAGGAAGCTATTGAGGAAAGGTGAGAATTATGATACATGTTACAGAGTGGAAATCTTTGCAGGCCCTGCTACCCACCTGAGCACAGGCTGCTGGGAAGGGGATGACCAGCATGGAGCCACATCATACACAGGGTCTCTGGTGGGGACGCCGTGCCATCAGAGCAGACCTGGACAGACGTGCACTGCACGGCGCAGGGCTGGGGCAAGCCCCTGAACTGTGCTGTGAGAACGGCACTGACTGGGCACTGCATGGCAAGGGCACACTTGCTGATGCCAGGGCAGTCACCTGCAATTTTAAATGGCCAATTCTTGTCATTTCTCTCTTTTTTTTTTGAGATGGAGTCTCGCTCTGTTGCCCAGGCTGGAGTGCACTGGCACGATCTTGGCTCACTGCAACCTCTACCTCCCAGGTTCAAGCGATTCTACTGCCTCAGCCTCCCGAGTAGCTGGGATTACAGGCGCCCGCCACCACGCCCGGCTAAATTTTTGTATTTTTAGTAGAGATGGGGTTTCACTGTGTTAGCCAGGATGGTCTTGATATCCTGGCCTTGTGATCCATCCGCCTCGGCCTCCCAAAGCGCTGGGATTACAGGCATGAGCCACTGTGCCCGGCCTCATTTTTCTTTAAAAAAAAAAAAAAAAAAAGCTCACGGCTCAGCATATATCTAAATTTGCTTCAGGAGGCATATGATGTGACTCCACTATAAACAGGTCTCTTTCAAAAATTCCCCATGATACAAAATAGCCTTTTCTTACAAACCAAAAATTACAGAATCCATGCCTTTATTCAGCAAACATTTTTACCTACTTTGTGACAGGCATTATGTTAGACCATTTTCCACACCTGTAAGAAAATTTCAAACCCAGCGTAACAAAAATTTAGAAGCAATCCCTCCTCCTAGAATATCCAGAAAGTTTAATTTAAGGGAAATATGGAGGCCCTGAAGAAAAAAAATCATCTTCCCTGCCCCACCACTCAATGAACACAGAGTCCCTTTCTCTTTCAGATGCTGTGATAAATGGCTCTTGACAAGAGCTAACTGGTTGCAATAAGATACAGTATTTTAAAAAACCATTAGTTGTTATTTATGAAGAATATTCAAGTAACCCACAATGAAGGGGATGCTAAGTGCACCGCAAACCAGGTGACTGAGAGGGAGGTGGGTTCTGGGTAAACAAGGAAGCTTCTGGAAGGGCTGTAACTTATGTTTGTGATGCTCTGTGGCACGCGGCGGGCTACCTGGACGGCCCCTGGGGGAGGTCCTCCCGCTTTAGCAATTTACGGCTTCAAACCCGGTGTGACGTGAAGTAGACAGTTAAGTATGTGATAGCCCGGACCCTCTGAAATATAACCACTTTTCATCAGCAACTGCCTCAAGGGACAGGGCACACACCAAGGCACTAATACCGGGAGAGCAGTACTTTATAACGTCAAAATAATAAGGAGCAGGGCCGGCAGCTGAAACCAGATGATGAGCACATGTGTGGGGCGTGAGTGGGCATTATATGATATTGTTTTCGTACATGTTAGAGATTTTCCATAAGAAAAAAAAAAAACTGGCCGGGCACAGTGGGTCATGCCTGTAATCCCAGCACTTTGGGAGGCCGAGGTGGGTGGATCACAAGGTTAGGAGTTCAAGACCAGCCTGGCCAACATCGTGAAATCCTGTCTCTACTAAAAATATACAAATTAGCTGGGTGCGGTGGCGGGTGCCTGTAATCCCAGCTACTTGGGAGGCTGAGACAGGAGAATCACTTGAACCCGGGAGGCGGAGGTTACAGTGGGCTGAGATCACACCACTGCACTGCACCAGCCTGGGCGACAGAGTGAGATTCTGTCTCAAAAAACAAAACAAAAAAAACAAGGGGCTAGACTAAAACATATCACGAAATGATTTAATAACAATTATTTCCAAACCATCTCCCCAAATTAGAAAAATATGCAATCAACAAATAAGAGTATTAAGATGAAAGCTTCTGGAACACTTTCTAGTGATGCTTATTTCATTTTACATTTTATTTTCTTAATATTTTTTGAGACAGGATTTCACTGTATTGCCCAGCCTGCAGTGCAGTGGTGCAAAGATAGCTTATTGCAGTCTTGACTTCCTGGCCTCAAGCAATCCTCCTGCCTGAGCCTCCCGAAGTGCTGGGATTACAAGCATGAGCAACTGTGCCCAGCCTCAAGTAGACATTTTTTGCTTTTTTGAGACAGAGTCTCACTCTGTCGCCCAGGCTGAAGTGCAAAGGCGCAATCTCAGCTCATTGCAACCTCTGCCTCCCAGGTTCAGACGATTCTCCTGCCTCAGCCTCCCGAGTAGCTGGCATTACAGGAGCTCGCCACCATGCCCAGCTAATTTTTTGTATTTTTAGTAGAGATGGGTTTCACCATGTTGGCCAGGCTGGTCTCGAACTCCTGACCTCAGGTGATCCACCTTGTCCGGCCTCTCAAGTAGACATTTTAAAGCTAGTATCTATATATACCAAACACAAAGCCAAAACCACAGCTACTTACACTAAGAGTGGCCTATGGCACACGGCCCACAGGCCTCCCTTACTCAGCCTTTACAGCTCCACAGAACGGACACCGAGAGGCTTCCCATTTTACAGATGGGAAAACCGAGGGTGAAAAGATTAAGTAAGTTTCTCATGGTACCTCAGGTCAGTGCAGGGAATCAGGAATTACTTCTTTATGTGGAATTTTTTTTTTTTTTTTTTTTTTTTTTTTGAGACTGAGTCTGGCTCTGTCGCCCAGGCTGGAGTGCAGTGGCGGGATCTCAGCTCACTGCAAGCTCCGCCTCCCGGGTTTACGCCATTCTCCTGCCTCAGCCTCCCGAGTAGCTGGGACCACAGGCGCCCGCCACTTCGCCCGGCTAGTTTTTTGTATTTTTTAGTAGAGATGGGGTTTCACCGTGTTAGCCAGGAGGTCTCGATCTCCTGACCTCGTGATCCGCCCGTCTCGGCCTCCCAAAGTGCTGGGATTACAGGCTTGAGCCACCACGCCCGGCCTATGTGGAATTTTTCAATCACAAAATTGTTGCTTCTGCCTAGAATCCTCCTTGCAGATCGCGTGACAACACATGGAAAGCATGTCCTACCGCTTCAGCGAGTGGTCTCATGCTGCATTCAGAATAAACCCAGTTCCTTCCCAAGGCTGCCATGTCCCTGCGTGACCGGGGCCATTGCTCCACGTTTGCACTGCCCCTCACCTCTGCTGCCGGCCTGCCCTCTGCCTGAGAGCTGCCTGCTCTTCTCCTGTCCCTTTCACATTCTTCAAGAACCAGACCCTACGAGGCCTCCTCAGACAGACCTGCCCCACCTCTTTCCTGCACACCACTCACTACGATCTGCATTCAGGCGATGACGGCCCACTATCTCCCAGGCAGTGCCAGATGCACGGCTGACATGGCATTGGGCACCCCTGAGTGAACCCTCCATCTTCCGTAGCAAATAGGTTTCTGCTTTTTAGCTAACAACTCTTATTGCTAACTTCTAACTTCAAAAGTAATATACATTTTCTATGGGAAATTCTGAAAGCATATGAGCAAAAAGATCAGCTGCAATCCCAATACGGAAAAAAATCATCTGAACATCATTGGTGGACTCCTCGGCAGAAGTGTACAATGGTACACGTGTGAAAAATGAGGGCACAGCTCCTTGTTTCATAACCTGCTATTTTCACTTAATAAGCAACTCCTTTTTTATTTTTTCTTTGAGACGGAGTTTTGCTCTTTCACCCAGGCTGGAGTGCAGTGGCGTGATCTAGGCTCACTGCAACCTCCACCTTATAGTTTCAAGTGATTCTCCTGCCTCAGCCTCCCAATTAGCTGGGACTACAGGTGCCTGCCACCACACCTGGCTGATTTTTGTATTTTTAGTACAGACAGGGTTTCACCATGTTGGCCAGGCTGGTCTCAAACTCCTGACTTCGTGATCTGCCCCCCTCGGCCTCCCAAAGTGCTGGGATTACAGGCGTGAGCCACTGCGTCCAGCCCCAGCAACTCCTTTCTTTATGTGTAGACACGTTTCCGTGTCAACTCAGAACACTTAGACAGCAGAAAGTAGTATGGACATGCCAATTCACAATTTACCATAACTGCTTCCAAGCTTTTTTTTTATTTTAAAAAACAAACATGCCCTACAACAAACATCCATGTATAGACATCTTGGTAAAACACGTTTCTAGGAGTAGAAGGTCATTTTCATTTAAAATTCAGTCTATATTACTGGGTTGTATCAACTTACACTTCAAAATCAGTACTCCCACTGCCCACAGCCTATCACTGTTCCTTCAAAACCAGTACTCCCACTGCCCACAGCCTCTCTATCACTGTTCCTTCAAAACCAGTACTCCCACTGCCCACAGCCTATTATCGTTCCTTCAAAACCAGTACTCCCACTGCCCACAGCCTCTCTATCACTGTTCCTTCAAAACCAGTACTCCCACTGCCCACAGCCTCTCTATCACTGTTCCTTCAAAACCAGTACTCCCACTGCCCACAGCCTATCACTGTCCCTTCAAAATCAGTACTCCCACTGCCCACAGCCTCTCTATCACTGTCCCTTCAAAACCAGTACTCCCACTGCCCACAGCCTCTCTATCACTGTCCCTTCAAAACCAGTACTCCCACTGCCCACAGCCTCTCTATCATTGTTCCTTCAAAACCAGTACTCCCACTGCCCACAGCCTCTCTATCATTGTTCCTTCAAAACCAGTACTCCCACTGCCCACAGCCTATCATTGTTACTTTTTTAAAACTTTATCAATTTGAGAGGCAAAAAATAAAAACCTGTTAATGAGGATACATTGAAAAAATATATTTACTGGCCATCGATTTTTCTTCTTTTTGGAACCACCTTTTCATGTCCTTTGTCTATTTCTCTAGGTCAGTGACTGTCTTTTCTTATTGATTTATAAAAGCTCTTTCTATAGTAAGGATGTTAACCTTTATTTTTATGTGTTAGCAATTACTGCCATTTCTGTATTTGTCTTTTAACTTTATTCAGGCCAAGCCCCCATTAGACCTACTAATCTTTCCCCATGATTTACAGCTTCAGTTCTTAGACACTTCTTTCCAGCTCCAAGATTATTTCAAAAAATTATCTTTATATGTTTCTACTTTTCTAGTTTTATTTTTTACATTTAAATACTGGATTTATATGGAATTATGGTTGTCAAATATGTGATGTCTTATTATTTTTCAAAACGGAGAGCCTGTTTTTCCAACATCAATTACTGTTATACTAAAGAAGTTTCATCATAAAAATGTGAGAGAATGTTGTTGCTTTCTCAGCATCTGAGAAAGCCATTCATCTGTTAATATGATAAACTATACTAGAAGATCTTCTCATTTTGTGACATACTGGGATTCCTGGAACAATCCTACTTGCTCATAACTTATTACTATTTTCATACATAGCTGAATTCAGTTTCATATCTTAACATCTATACTTGTAAGTGATCGTGGTCTACAGATTGCCAAGCTTTGAGAGCTTCATTCTTTTCCATCTTTCTTAATGCTCTGGAGTGGCTTTAATGATGTAGGCGTTCTATTTCTTGAGGGTGAATTAACTTGACCTTTAATTTGTCTTGGCTGACTGCCTGGGTTTAGAGGTATTTCACTAACCAATTATTTTCAAAATTCTTTCAGGTCTATAGATCTATGTCGGTTCCTTATTTATGAAATAATTTCAGCAACTCATGTTTTCTTAGAAAATGATATTTTTCACTGATTTTCAAATTCATTCAAATTTGAAATAATATATGTTCTTCATATACTTTAAAGATACCTATAATTTTTTTCCTCTGTCACACACGCTGGAACGCAGTGGTGTGGTCTTGCCTCACTGCAACCTCCATCTCCCAGGCTCAAACAATCCTCCCACCTTAGCCTCCAAGTAGCTGGGAGCACAGATGTGTGCCACCAAGCCTGGTTAATTTAATTTTTTTGGTCTCACGATATTGTCCAGGCTGGTTTCTACCTCCCAGGCTTAAGTGATCCTCCCACTTCACAGCCTCTGTGAGGAGCTGGTGCTACAGGCATGCGCCATCATGCCTGGCTACATTTTTGTAATTTTAGCAGAGACGGGGTTTTGTCATGTTGCCCAGGCTGGTCTCGAACTCTTGGACTCAAGCGATCTGCCTGCCCTGGCCTCTCTATGTGCTGGGATTATGGGCGTGAGCCACCACACTCCACAGCAATTTATTTCTAAGCAATCTTTTCCACGTCTGATAATCAGTAGCACAAGTTTTATATTTTCAGTTTTGTAGAATACAAATTAGAGACTTAAAGATTTTTCTCCTGTTACGCAGTCTGTTTCAGAGATGCCCATATGCCTGGAGGCTCAGCTGTGTCTTCCGAACTTTGGAATCTCTGTGGGCGCAATGACATTTCTGTCTCCGCATCTATTCAAAGAGAGGCTGGCCTGTGCTTTTGAGAACTGAGAGTTAGCATGAGTTTTGTCAGATACTGAGTAGATCTCTGTTCAAGTGTCTCAGGCTTGGGTGGATGGAGACGGGAAACTTCTGGGTGTGCTGTTTTGTCTGCCAGGTGCCAGGACAATCAGGGAGGTGTGGAGAAGGCCATGCTGGTTGGCAGCAGCCTTGTGTGCAGGCCTGCTCCTCTGCGAGCCCCACAGCTGGCAGGGGTCAGGCGCCTTCCCTGGGCTCACAACCCCTCTCCACGCCCCATAGCTGGCTGCGTCAGGCGCCTTCCCTGTGCTCACAAACCCTGGGGCAGGAGGCAGGTTCGGGCTGTGGTTTCTTTCTGGGGTGTGAGAACGGATGAGGTACTGCTGCCTCTGGGATGCTCCCAGCTTGTTCCAGCCTCCTGACCACCCCTCTGTGGCTGACGGTCGACTCCCCTGGGGTCACCGCCCTGAGTCTCAAGGGCACTTCTCTGCGAGCTCCAGGTATGCTGCCTTACCCTGACATACAGACAGTACCTCCCCCTGCTTTCTAGAGCAATAACCATTTTCATCCTCTACTTATTACAATCCTTTGGTTATTCCAATGAGAGTCTGCGGGTGGCCGGGAAGGGGGAGAGATGGATCATTTGTGCTCAGGTAACCTCCTGGAATGAGAGGCCCAAAGACACACATAGTGAATGGCCTAGTTAGCAGTTCATCCACACGGATTTGGTTTTGCTGAATGATCACCATTCTCATACAGCAAGGCATCTTTATGCAAAGAATGGTCCTCTTACCACCCCAGCCTACTTCCTCAATCTCTCGTCTCCATTCTGCCTTTCCTTCTAACCCAAGAGCTGTCACCTCGCCCCACTGCCACACCTGTCACACTCCATTCCAGGCCACCAATGCCACCAGAAATCTCTGAAGTCGCTCCAGTGGCTTAATTGCATCACAAAGTCACCAGACTGGATAAAGTTATTCTGCTGACCTGAAACCTGTCAGATGTACCGGCCCCTCCCCCAAAGGGCACGCCTGGACAAGCTGGCCAAGGCTCCTTCACCAGCCACCCCCTAGTCACTGCTGACTACCTACCACATCTCAGCACAGGGCCGGGCAGCTCGCACCACGGGGCTCCTGCCTAGGGCTGCACCCCCGCCTCGGTGCCTCCCGTTCCTCTCGCAACACCAGCTGAACGCCTCTCCTCCACAGAACCTCCCTCCCGCGGGGGAGCCCACCGCTGCTCCACACGGGCTTCCATGAGGTTCCTGGCTACGGCGCCTGCTCTGGCCTTTGCTTCTGTCTGCTTTTTAATTGCACTGGCTTTTTATTTTTACGTGCATGTGTGTCCTGCGACATGAAAGTCTCCCTCCAAGAACATAATAAAGTAACTGAAATCGAGTGAGCGAAGTATCGCCTGGCAGAGATTCTCAAGGAACCTGCTTTGACAAATAAGTAAATGAATTTCATTGGTACAACAGTTTGCATATAAATAGCTTCAGAAGTCCCAGGGAGTATGAAGGATTATTTGAAACTTTCTGCAAACGTCCAGTACAGTGAACAGACTGTTAAACAGACACATACCTAAGGGCTGCTCACACCCACGTTACCTCCAGTGCCACGCTAGGCAAGCACGACACAGCGCAGAAGGCGGAGGTTTCGCTGCAGCCACCTGCGGGGGCCGCCAACCCCAACCCAGCCTGCAGGTGAGGTCGCCGAGGATCCTGCGCTTGCCGACTTACGGTGGAACGTGCAAGGCCAACATGCAAGTGGCAGCGTACCTTTCACCAGCTTCCCGTCCGGGACGGTCTTACTGGACGACGCCTCCTTCTTCCCGCCTGAGCCTGCCCGTGCTCCCACCTCGGCCGTGTCTTCAGGCGCGCCATCCTCCCCAGTGTCACTCGGCTTCTCAGGAGCAGAGTCTGTGGGAGCCTCTTCCGGTGCGGACACAGCCTAGAGATGAAATGTCACTATAAACTGTCAGCAAGAAATTATACAGACATTTTCAAAAAAGAGAGATGTATACAGTATGTATGTTTCACTGGACAACGGCAACTGTACATTACTGCCCAAGCAGCACTGGGAATAGACTTCCATATCCAGATTTGCTATTTTTTCTTACAATAGAATGTATCAAAGAGGAGCAGAATATTTTCTCCTGTCTGAAAAAACACTATACTCTTTGAAGCCCTAATACTGCCTTGGGAACCAATCTTCGGTACCTTTTCTTTGGATGCTGATTACTGAGAATTCTTTAAAAATACCAAATTATCCCCATCACCTACAGAGGAGTCAGTTTCTTTCAGTGTGGGCCATGCCATCGGAGATAAAGGTCTGAAGAAATCTCCTGAGAAGCAAGGTCCATGTCATCTCTTCACCAAAACTGGCTTTACAAAAATGTCAGGGTGTCTGTATAACTGAGAAGAGCAGAGCAAAGGCAGAAGACGGGGCTGCGGGACAAAAAGCACTTCCAAGGGCACCAGCACCACGCCGGGGACCTGGTGAGGGGGAAGGGCGTGCAGGAGCAGGCAGAGACCATGCTGCAGGACACTCCCAGCAGCAGCTGGCCAGGTGTGAGGCGCCCACATATATATATATATATATATATTTATTTTCTTTTTTGAGACAGTCTCACTCTGTTGCCCAGGCTGGAGTGCAGTGGCATGATCTCTGCTCACCGCAAGCTCCGCCCCCCGGGATTCATGCCATTCTCCTGCCTCAGCCTCCCAAGTAGCTGGGACTGCAGGCATCTGCTGCCACGCCTGGCTAATTTTTTGTATTTTTAGCAGAGATGGGGTTTCACCATGTTAGCCAGGATGGTCTCGATCTCCTGACCTCATGATCCGTCCACCTTGGCCTCCCAAAGTGCTGGGATTACAGGCATGAGCCACCGTACCTGGCCATATTTTATATATTTCATACATGTTAACACAACACATGCAGGGTACCCGGCTGTCAGGAAATGTAGCTAAAAACTGTAGACAGCCAAAACATCGAACAGCTGAAGGAACAGGATTTTTTTTGTTTAGAATGTGCTGGACAAACAATCATCAGTACTGTGAATGTGGGCAGATGTTTTCAATAGATCAAGTTCCAGAGCTAAGGGGGACGTGAAAGATGGGAGTATGCCAGACACACATTAAAGAAAGGTGAAGAATCACCCAGCCCTTTCACCTGTAGGAGAATAAACAGAAAGTGACTTCTGATCTGGAAGGCAGAGCCACCTGTAACAGCTTCACGGCCTCCCTGTGTTCAGACACGTACCTGCGTGCTATCGCCCCCTTCTTTCTGGAGGAAGAACTGCTTCTTAAACTCATAATAGGCATTATACTGGTGCCATGGCTGCAGGAATTCAAATCTGAGCAGAAGGAGAAAGAAAATGGGTCATTTACCAACATAAGCACACTGAAGTAACAACAGGCCCTGTTCTCCTAGCTCTTTACTGATCTCCACAACCCCACAAGGTGGTTACTATTACAGCTACTCATAGACGAGGGAGACGGCATACAAGGGGTCAAAATCGCTTGCCCGGGGTTACACAGGTCACACTGCAAACTGACAACATATTTTTAGGCTTTACTAGCACTGAAGCATGGGACATTACTTGGTTTTTAAAAAGAAGGGTTTGTGTCTAGATTTTTAAGGCAGATTCTTGAAAACCATGAATTATAGGCTTTTATTTTAGGTAGCTTCAAAATTCTTTTTTTTTTTTTTTGAGATGGAGTCTCGCTCTGTCGCCCAGGCTGGAGTGCAGTGGCCGGATCTCAGCTCACTGCAAGCTCTGACTCCCAGGTTTACGCCATTCTCCTGCCTCAGCCTCCCGAGTAGCTGGGACTACAGGCGCCCGCCACCTCGCCCGGCTCGTTTTTTGTATTTTTTAGTAGAGACGGGGTTTCACCGTATTAGCCAGGATGGTCTCGATCTCCTGACCTCGTGATCCACCCGTCTCGGCCTCCCAAAGTGCTGGGATTACAGGCTTGAGCCACCGCGCCCGGCCCAAAATTCTTACTTAAAAAATGAAACAAACAAAAAACAGGTAACATAATTTAAAAACACCACCCCAAGTCTAAGCAATTTAACAAGCCAATTAAAAAATGTATTTATCTAAAGACATTGGTTGGGTGTGGTGGCTCATGCCTGTAATCCTAGCACTTTGGAAGGCCGAGGCAAGTGGATCACTTGAGGTCAGGAGTTTGAGACCAGCCTGGCCAACACAGTGAAACCCTGTCTCTACTAAAATACAAAAATTAGCCAGGCGTGGTGGTGCACACCTGTAGTCCCAGCTACTTGGAAGGCTGAGACAGGAGAATTGCTTGGGCCCAGGAGGTAGAGGTTGCAGTGAGCCGAGATCACGCCACTGCACTCCAGCCTGGGTGACACAGCGAGACTCCATCTCAAAAAAGACATTTGAGCCAAGAAAAGGATTAAAAATACATAAAAAAAAATTCATTCTGTACCTACATTTTTTTAAAAAGGCTAAACGAAGTCCCCAAATGCCATATACCTAACATACAAAATTCTTCTTCTGACCTTTGATCATTCTTGGCACGAACACTGGTCTCGAACTTCAGGCCGTTCCTGGCGACATACTCGGCTAGCTTGTCAATCACAGGCTGGACGTCGGGGGGCGGGGGGATGATGGCGGCCACGGGGGCAAGTGCACTGTGGGAGAAGAGTCTGTGAGGCCCCTGGGCCTCAGGGGCTCGCCAAGCTCAGTCCTGGCTGCTCGGAGGTCCTCACCGCCTCAGATGTCCAGAGAGACATGTGAGTTACAGTATATAGTGGAGGCTCTTGTTGAAGGTGATGCATACGACAGAAACTAAAGTCAACTAGACAGGATTATTGTCGAGTGAAAATGGGGATTTTAGTGATAAAAGGTGCATTTTTCCTAGTAATTAACATTTCTCCCCAATCACAAGCTAATTCTTAGAAATAACCAAGAGTAAGTTTTTGTTGTTGTTGCTGTTATATTAAAAAAAAAGTCAGCAAGCATGATTCAGCTTTCTTCATTTCCTGTTTGACTTGCTCAGCATGACCAGAAAGAGTCGTTTTTACAGAAACTCCCGTGTTTTATTACATTTCCCAAGAGCCTCCTTTCAAGGCCGGGCATTCCAGGCCCTCTGGTAAAGCACCTGTCTCCTCCTCGTCCCACGAACACGGGGGGCCCTTGCTGTTGGGGAAGCTAGGGCTCTGCCGATGGCTTCACAGGTTAACTAAAGTAGCTGCCAGGCCCCCGCAATGGCCAACAGCTTCGGAGAGACTCATGAAGCACCCCAACATCACCTTCCTCAACTTTACGAACCTGCATGTTTTGCAAACAACTGCAGTTTCACTGCATACTGATTTTGCCTAGCACAGCTCAACTGAGACTCTGACACAAAGCGCAAGAACAGATGCTGGAGATCTGGGGCCAGCGTGCAACGTGAAATGAACTCAACTTTATAAGAGGTTTAACTTCAACGCTGAAAAGTTTGTGCTACGACCATTTCTGTTTTCCTGTCAACTTTGTAACTTGGGGATTTGGAATAATAACTACTCAGATAATGGGGACCCCTATATGTGATCCAGATTACAAGCCCCCCATGGAGACACAGACGACTCCAGTGACTGCAGTGCTAAGTGACCCACACAGCAGGCACCGGCGGACCCTGCGCCTACCTTGTGGTGGTGGTTGTGGAGGTGGCCCCGCTGCTTGTCTCCGCCGTGGTTGGGGGCGGCGGTGGTGTGGTCCCGGGAGGCGGTGGGGCGGTGGTCGTCACTCCGGGGGAGTTAGACACGGTCACACCAGCAGGAAGGGTGCTGTAGTAAGTGGCCACGTCGATTCCGGGAGGGGGCGGCGCCAGGCAGTAAGTGCCATCCGGTAGCATGTAGTAGCTGTAATACATGGCTGCCACGGTCGCTGTGGAGACACATTGCCTGGGAGTGAGCGTGGCCAGCGACAGACTGGTCCGTGAGTCCACAACACAGTCACAAGAGCCTGTCCCCCGGCAAGATGCAGCCTTGCTTCTGCTCACTTCCAACCATGCTGTTTTCTAGATTTTTCTGATACAAAAATGTTGTCTGTGCAATACGCAATTTAAAAGAACCAGGCAAAGCCACAACACACATCCAAAGACAGATGGGAAGTGAACAGCATGAGGATGTTCAAAGCCACCAGACGTGAATATTCTCTAGACAAATTAATATTCTCCTTAACTTCAAAATGTGCAGGTTGGGAACAGTCTCCTCTCTTGCGGCAACCAGTCACCCCTTTGCTCACACGGCTCACGAAGGCCACCTATGCTCCTAAATGCACATGTGAGGAAACGCCTCTGGCTAGCTGCCTGCGCTGACATCAGCTTTCATTCTCCAGGCACCCTGCTCCCTCCGTTCACACGTTAATCCGGAAACTACCCCCTCGGTAAGGCAGGTGCTACTGGCAACCCCGGTGTCAACCCCCGGCCCCAGCAACACAGGCTGTGTGGGAATTTATCCAGTAAATAAAAGTTCCCAGGGGCACTGAGTCTGCGTCTGGACCTTTCCATCACAGACAGTGATGTACGCCATCTTCCCCCCTATTCTGTGCACACATGCAGGTATCTGTAGGGCAGTGGCACGCTGTCTTAACAATTAAAAATCCTGTACATTTATCCTTTTTGGGGCTAAATGTTCAGAACCATGAATCGCAGAAGATTCAACGATTACTTATGAAATTTAATTTCCAGTCCTGTTGTAGATAAGCAAGTAGTTCTGACTACACACAGATTTAATTTCCTCTTTATTAGGAGATGGCAAAATTATTTTTCTAATTAAGAACTTTTATCTTCATTTTCAATTAATTCACCTTGAAACGGTAACACTGAAAAACAGTGAAAGCTTAACCATGGTTTCCAGTAATGTATGCTACGCAGAGAAACATTTCAGAAGTACGACTTAGACTCTCTTGACCTTTCCGTCATAGATTGGCAAGGCAGCATAATTCCTACGTACTGTAGGCATATTCTCCAGCTGCCAACGACTTATTTAAATTAATTAGACACGATGAACTCCTAAACCGTCGTTCTCTAGCTCCATGTTATATACCAACCACCATGACACAGAAACAGCAATACTCCAAATTTTCAAAATAAGGTAAGTGGGCTCCATGTACTCCACATTATCGTCTACACAGAAATATCTGAGTACCATCTCTGAGAAAAGGCCGGGGGCAAGGATGAAACCCTTGGAGGTCAATGGGAGGAGGCTGACAGCAGGGCAGGCACCGTCTCTGAGGTCCTGCAGGGGCAGGTCCTGTCTTCACTGTCTCTGTAGCCTCTGCACTGAGCACAGAGTACGTGCTGGACCGACGAACTGACCTGATAGTCCAACACAGGCTTTCCTATCAAAATCAGGAATCCAAATATAAGCACGTGCTTCTGTAAGAGACAACGTCGTCCCTGGAAGAGGGGAGCTGCTGCTTCCATCCACTCCCTGCTGGAGCCATCAGGCTACTGTGTACGGGCCAGGGTGAAGCCAGCACTCCAGGGGAGACAGCGCAGCCCACTGTGTGCTTGGCTCTGGGGAGGGCTGGGCGGAACCGACCCCACTACTGACTGGCTACTGTCAGGTCTCAAGCCTCCCACCTCAGCAGGAAGGACGGAAACCCCATGTCCTGCCCTGGACAGTCAGTCTCATTCCTAAAAAGAAGTCCAAATATGTTTTAAACTGGGGCCACAAAGGAAGGGATCTGAATTCATAAAAACAAACAAAACAGTTTATAATTATTTCAACTAGTAGTACATATTACGCAACTCCAACCTGATACCTGCATTCTTTATGTAACTGTGTAAAGTGCAATCACCCTGGAACACAACAGAGATGAAGAAGTTATTTTCAAAGCTAAGCGCCATTTCTTTGAAAGAACCCGCAGACTTCAGACTATATGACCTTCCTGAGCATTCCATCTTGTTAAATAAAAACGAAGTGTTTAAAAAAAATAGCAGTGCTGGCAAAATGGCAGACTACTCAGAGACTCATCCACTACAAACATCAAAAACGCTGGTTAAAATATAATGAAAAATTTAGCCTCGGTGCAGTGGTTCACATTTATATTCCTGGCACTTTGCGAGGCTGAGGTGGGAGGATGCTTCAGGCCTGGGCAGTATTGTCAGACCCCATCTCCAAAAAATAAAATAAACTAGCTGGGTATGGTACACACCTATCGCCCCAGCTACTTGGGACGCTGTGGCAGGAGAATGGCGGGAGCCCAGGAGTTCGGGGCTGCATTGAGGTGTGATGGCACCACTGCGCTCCAGCCTGGGTGATAGAGTGAAGCCCCGAGCTGAGCTCACAAAAAGAAAAAAAGGCTGTCTCTAGGTGTAAAAATGAAACAAATCCCCAAATCTGAAAACACCTCCAGGGACATCCTAGCCTGGGTCCCCAACTTGCTTCAGAGGCTCCACACAAAAACCACCCAGGCTGACCATGCTCTGGGCACACCCTTGACCCAGACCCAGGAGATTCTCATGGAGGAGAGCTGTGAAGCCCAGATACGCGCAGCCTCTGTGATACGGTCTGCTACTAGCCACTGCTGCTGTGACCTCTTCCCTGTGATTCTCTCCAAGGTTTTAACCAAATTTGAAAATCGTCCTGCTTCTCAAAAGGACTCCAAGAGAAATAAAGTATGTGCTGTTCAATGAGATGAAAACACTCATCTGTCGGCAGACGGTGGAATGTGGAACGTGGGGCGTGTCCTGTGGCACTGCCATGTTCCGAAGCGGCCCGGGAACCAGCACCACAGGGGTGCATGAATTCCGCTACACTGCTCTTGGGTTGCCTCTCCCAGATTCCCATTTCGTAGGGTGTCAGGGATGTGAAGATCTGAGGGAGGACATCAGATCCATCCTTCCCCAGATGCTGTGGCCCTGGTGGGAGGCAGGACGGGCACAAGGCATCTGGAACAGCCCAGGGCCAGTCTCCTGAAGGGCTTCTGCCGCTTGCCCAGCCCGCCCCTTGCCCTGGTTTCTGGTCCCCAGGTCTCTGTCCTTGGCACGGCCTCACAGGGTCTCTGCCTGCCACGAGAGGCCCCTATTCAGCTTATCTCCAGTGCCACCTCTTTTGGGAAGCCTCTGCCTCCTTGGCAGACTCAGGAGGCCTTTGCTCTGGGCTCACGTGGGACCTCACGTGGGACCCTGTACACAATGCCCTAAGGCGACTCCTGCGCCAGCCACCAGGACTGGGGTGCAGCTATGGCCCCAAGGACTCCACATCTCCAAATAGTGACCACAAAACCTCAGCAGCTCGCACAGCTCCTGGCATGAGCAGGCCCTCAGTAAGTGTTTAATGAGTGAGTTCATGCCAGCTGGTGGCATGGCCTGGGCTGCTTCTAAAATGCCTCAGTGCTAAAATATCCCGCAGTGACCATGAAGCTGCTTGACACATGCCCCACACAGTGGCAGCACCGCACAGCTCACAGAACCCTTTAACTGGACTGAAGCCCTTTAAACTGACTAGCAACTACAGCACACAGGGATTTTGTACACAGCCCCTTGTATGTTGTATACAGCAATTCTCATGAACACTAAACTTTAAGAATTTCTGGACTAGAACAGGGTGAGAACAGAATTAGAATCTACGAGCTGGGCTGTAGTCTACAAACTGAAGTCTGGGCTGGCAAAAGTCACATCAGCTTTACAATAACTGTGCCATCACTAGTCATAAATGGGGATGGGCACAGCGTGCCAAGGGGCTCCTGCTGTCCTCAGGCTGCCATGACATGCAGGGAATCTCCTGGGCTTATCGTGAGGCTACTTCCCAACAACCTCACCATACACTGACAACACCGTGAAATGGAAAATGCACTGAATCCACCTGTAACCTACCAAACATCATGGCACAGCCTCCCCTGCCTTAAATGTGCTCAGGGCACCTACAGTAGCTGATGGCTGGATGAAATCATCTAACACGAAGCCTATTTTATAATAAAGTTTTTAGCATCTCAAGTAATTTACTGATGCTCTACTGAATGCAAATTGCATTTGCCCCATCATCAAGTTGAACCCTCAGTAAGCTGGGACCACATATATTTTGTTAGGTTTGTTGCTGTTCTCAGGATTTTATATTGAATTTCCCAAAAGAGGACTAGGTTTTAAAGTAAGTTAAATGCTGACGTAATGTTACTCTAATAAACACTATGAGTACTACGAAAGCCTACTCCAAATAAATCCAAGAAAGAAATTCCAACAGGTACCTACACAGTCCCTAAAGGCAAGTATAGTTGTACGACGAGAACCAAGCTGCTTAAAAGCAGGAAGCACATTTGTAAGTCCTTCTTCCCCAATACTGCCTCCTCTGAAACGTGCAGAGCTACTTAACACAGGTCAGAGAAATCTGCCTAATTATCTCCCAAGGCCCCGCTATTCAACAGGCTTCTTGCAAAAACCAGAGCCAGTTTCCTGGTATCTCCGCATGATCTTAATCTCGTGTAAATTCAACAGACAGAACAGAACTCCTGTGCTGAGAAGGTTCTTAGAGAGGAGGAGACTGGTGAGCAACCACCTTTCCGGAAGAACTAAGTCAGAGAAGATGAACAATGTGTGCATTAAGAATAAAAACAGGGTCGGGCGCGGTGGCTCAAGCCTGTAATCCCAGCACTTTGGGAGGCCAAGATGGGAGGATCATGAGGTCAGGAGATCGAGACCATCCTGGCTAACACAGTGAAACCCCGTCTCTACTAAAAAATACAAAAAACTAGCCGGGCGTGGTGGCGGGTGCCTGTAGTCCCAGCTACTCGGGAGGCTGAGGCAGGAAAATGGCGTGAACCCAGGAGGCGGAGCTTGCAGTGAGCTGAGATCCGGCCACTGCACTCCAGCCTGGGCGACAGAGCGAGACTCCGTCTCAAAAAAAAAAAAAAAAAGAATGAAAATAGGCTGGCCAGGTGGC